TGATCACCTTTGATTTTTTTGTTGCCTTGACATGTGTCGTACTATCAGTGCTGTCATAATTAGCGATGCTAAATTTGTTTTTCATCTGTCATGTTAAATGTCTCTCTAGAAGTTTTTCATTTCGATGAAATAAGCCCTGTCCTTACCAAGACACAGCTTAATAATGACTCTTGGACATCTTCCATGAGCAACCTACAAAAGGGAGTGGGCTGTTCATTTATGTTCGGCTCTCTTCTCTCAAGTGAGACGGACGTGCCGTGTCTGTGACGACAAAATACAAAGTGAGATTCGTTCTAGTTTGCTGTTCACTTGGTTTAAATGCTTCATTCGTTCATCTGTAGAGAAATAGCGTTATAAAAATTTATTACGGATATATATTTATGCAAACGGAAAGTACAGCAAGCTTATATTTGACTCATTAATTTAATGTATTCTTTTCTTGTTGCAATGTTTTTTTTTCTTTTGTGGTTTTATTGTAAACAGATAAAATGTCGTTAAAATTGTAATGGAGGTTTCAAAGTATAAATCCTGTATAGTTACCATGTGATCCTATGACGTCTGAAGTAAAATGTCATACAATGTCAGATAATATTAAGACCTTTAATTTAGACTTTATGGTCAAATGAAACTAGCAAAACGTCTAACAATCATATTTAAAGATGTCTTCAGTCTCAGGACTACAAACTTTCAAAAAGTAATCATATGATATTAATGTCCTGGTGCGCCTCTGAGATTTTATACATCTGTAAGAGAAATGTCTTGTTTTACCTATAAGAAAATAAAAATGTCCTACATTAAATTTACAATTTACTGTTAGAATAATTGTAGAGTTCACTTTAATCCTTATACAATAATATGTTTTAATATATATATATATATATATATATATCAAAGAGCCAGAATGATCAATAAATTGATAGTGGGCCCTTAATATATAGAAAAAGAAGAAGATGCACCATAATGGTATAAATATGATTCAAGGCAAGCCTTAGAAGAATACCAGCTATTATCAGAAAAAAGTGTCAAGAAACAACCGAAATCAGGACCACATAAGATAATAGGTTCATTTATAATAACTTATATAATAGAGAAAAAATTCTTACATTAGATAAACATTTTAAATGGCAAAATTTCTTCAAAATATTGAAGTATTTACTTAAAAAAACATGTGGGACATTATTGCTTAAGCAAATTTTATAAATCTTAAACTAAGAATATATTTATATGATAGCTAAGGCATTGAGAAGCATACAAAAAATTGCAAGAAATCTAATTAACAATTTATTAATTAGATATAACGTCACCAAAAATTGATTTTAAAGAACTAAAAAAAATTTTTTAGCTAGGATTAAATATAAAAAATTCACAGAAACTTATTAGTTAATAACATGTTATGTAATTTAAATTGTTTCAGAAATATTATTTCAGTTAAAATGTTATGAAATATTGTGTAGTTTAAATTATTAACAACATTTTATGCAGTTTAAAATTGTATGAAATGTTAATAAGATGTTATGTACATTTAAAAGTTCATGAAATCGCAGGTAGTTTAAATCAATCATGAAATTTTATCTAGTTTAAAATGTTCATGAAATAATGTGTAGGTTAATTATGTTCCAAAATTTTTACATAGTTAAAATCTATATATATATTAAACAAATGAATGTATGTATTGTTTAAAATGTTCATGAAACATTCTGTCTTTTAACATGTTCAATAAATAATTATTCTTTTAAAATGATCATACATTTGTTGAAACGTTTGTAACAAAATTTTACATTCTTAAAATATTCATTAGACATTCTCTCTTTATCTCATAATACAAAATGTTTGAGAACTAAGTAATCTGTGTCGCATTTATTTTATACTTTTCAAAAAGTATTAGCAGCAAATATAATCTAAATTACGGAGAATCGTTTTGAATTTAAATACTCTATGATTTGCTCATTTTCAAATAGAGAATCTAACGCCACCTTAAACGTCTATAACTTGGGGTAAAAGATTAAACAGTTGCCCGACAATTTACTAATATATGTGTATCAAATGATGTCACTTAGGGAGCTGTTGATGATATAGAGAATGTGCGATTAATTCAAGTGATTAAGTAAATCATAAAATAATTGCAAATCATTAAATTCAGCGTTTACTAAAAATAGGGTCTGTAAAGAGTGTCAATCTTTTACACCATGAATGGGATATCACTCAATAGATAGTATATTATTTACGACTGCAGAATTATTATTTTATTAATTTGGTAGTCCTAATGGTTAGTTGATGATATGCGTGTTTTGTTTTCTTGTGTACAGAAAATATCTCTTTCTACGTAATCAACCACACCAGTATTTACCATCATGTCAGGGAATGAGCCCAACACGTCCGTGTTACTCTGTTGATGAATCAGCAATGCACGACGCAGGTTCAGCTCTGTTACTGAATCAGCCCAACCTGAATGTAGCGATTGCTTGTAGTCAGCCCAATACGCATGCCCTATTTTGCTGTCTAAAGAGGCAAGCACTCATGATGTTTCTGTATCATCCAAAGATCTATGCACTGTTGTGTTATTAAATATGGCGCTCAGCTTGACGCATCTCCTCGCCGTTGTCATTCTCAAACAATGAATAAATTGTAAGTTCAGACATGCAACGACGCTAAGGTCGTTAGGATTTAACAGAGGTAATAGTTTTTAGATTATTGTTTCAAAAAACGCATGACACAGATTTTATAGCATCTGTCAAATTACCGAAAGTTAAATTACCTTTCACACGATGTCGATCTTAAAAGATAGAGTTGGAAAAAATTATTTTTAACCAGGAACAATGTAAAATTAAATAATGGTTTGTAACATGTACGTTAGAGTTTATTACAATGTGAGACCAGTCAGTTTCTTCAATGACGCAAAGGTAAAAATAATAATAGCAAAAGTAAACATCTCCGTCGGTCATTAAATGTTATTTTTATTTGATTTTGAGGGAAAACTAAGTCGTTCCAGGGCCATCGACAAAACGCTCGGAAACGTAGTTAAGCTTTCCAAATCAAAGCAACGACAGCTTCTCTTGCAATAAACATAATGATTCAACACAAATGTTTATTAGTATTGCAGTAATCTTAAAACAAACCAAGTACTTTAATGATAGCGAGATAGATATTTCTTTCTGTCGAAGTGTTTAGTGAATCTCCTGGAACCAGACATCATAGATATCATGCGAAAGAGTAAATTAGCTCTCTAACATAGAATGTCCCATTTTTTGCGTGGAGAAACGCCTTACTGTGTTACAAACGATTTGTCACAAAGCCGTGTTGAGCATCTGCTGGTATATTATGACAAACAGTTGTATTATGCCATCAAGTGTAAATGCTTCAGAGCTTAAGCACGCGCATCTACTTCTCATAAAGTTTAATTAATCTTTGTTGTTGCTCTGTTTTGTTATTAATGGCAGCTTCGAGACATTAAAACTGACATAGAGATTACACTGCCGCGACATAGATTAAGATTTTGTGTGGATAAAAATAAAGAGTAACGCCTTCAGGTCTTCTCTCCTCTGCGTCAAGGTAAACCTTAAACCAGGCTTGGACACCGTAACGACAAACTGAAGACACAGTATAGACACATCTCTTGGACACACTGAAGTAGCACATGTTCTTATTTTGAACTTTTTAAATTGACCTGAAAATATTCATTCTACAATGTATTTACTGACGGTGGTCAAAATGTTATGTTCATTTTAAATGAAAGTATAGTCTTTACAGCAACCTTTGCGTTAGTCTTTTTTTGGTCGGCCTTACAGTAGATGATGCACAACATAGGTGCAATAAAAATTGACGTTATCTATTCGATATTTAATAGAGTTTTTTTTTAAGACAAGATTCTACATATTATCAAACTTTATGTGAATATGGAAGCTATAAAGTTTGTATGCATCTCTTTACCTCAACCATCTATGTTAGTGTCGCCGTCATTTCGCCGAGCGGTCATTTCATCACCGTCGAATTTCACAACCGGAAATTTTCCCCGCCAGAATAAGTTGACGGCACCCCCCCCCCCCCGTTAGCTTTCCTTTGGGCAAGCTTCGTTCTTTCTACCCCACATAGGGGGCGCGGCTAAGAATAGGGCCAACTGAGGCAGGCCAATTTTGTGGCCTCTGCCTTCCAAGAAAAAAACTATGCCATTTGCTGAAACTACACTATATTATAAGAGCGCTTAAGTGCCACCCACGCAATCCCGCCCTGCTAACCCACTGCACAGTTTAACAAATTTAAATTTATCTCATTGTTACTTTTTTTTTCACTTCATTTTTGTCAACAATAATTAAAGGAGATATTATTTGGGGAGAAAACATTTAAAAACATTAGTTTACAAAATAAGATAAAATGTTTATGTAACCTTGGGGAAAGTAAGTTTCTTTTATATATACTATCTGCCGTTTTATATATACTATCTGCCGTTTTATATATACTATCTGCCGTTTTATATATACTATCTGCCGTTTTATATATACTATCTGCCGTTTTATATATACTATCTGCCGTTTTATATATACTATCTGCCGTTTTATATATACTATCTGCCGTTTTGCAAAATCGACGTTGATCAATTTTACTTTTTTTTTAGCGCCAGAAAGATTACATGACGTCCTAAAAATATGACATGCATACATTTTATTTGAGAATATTTTAAATTTCAAACAATTAATTTTTTCATCTCTTTTATGAGAATTATTTTTTTTTTTTCATTTGGTTTTGTCGAGTTACACTAATCCATTTGATATTTGAAATCACTCTGCTGACGAATCATTTCATCATTTTATTTTCCTTTGCAGTGGACGTAATTCACAACATCCAGAAGGAAATTCACAGAAAAGCTATCTCACTAAAGTGATGCTCTGTTAAGCAAGATCACTCAATAGCTGTTGAATCAAGTCAGCAAAGGGAAATAAATGCCTTCTAACTCGACACTATCACGCCAAAATGTTTACCCAGCATCGGGAGATTTCAGCGTGGTCAAATTCATTATACGGAACGTCATTGTTCCCATTCTGTGCATATGTGGACTGGCTGGAAACGTCTTAATTCTTAAGGTTCTCAAAAATCACAAATTCAACCCCTCGACTAACATTCTCCTGTACGCCATGACTACTTCGGACGCAATGCTAACCGCTACAGATACCCTATGTCAAGGCATCGTCATCGTGGAAGACTTCCACCCTGTCATCGCAATCGTCATGGCCTTATTCTACAGATTTTTCATTTTCAGATGGAACCACCGTGCCTACTACTTCAGCCTCTGCACACTTTCCCTGATTGCACTGGAGAGACTTGCTTTGCTTTCTTCTCCGGTCTTAGCGTCGCGAATGTTCACAGATTACAACATGAAGTGGTCATTGGCCGTGCTGGTGACCCTATCATTTATCTTCACATTCCCAAGCTTGTATTTGCTTGATGATTTTAGGATGTTCGACGGAAAGTTTGTCAGGACTAATTCTATTTTCATTACAGAACATAGAAACGTCGCCGTATACTTGGTTGGAATCGGTGACCACGTAATCATCTACATGCCTCTCGCCATTTTACTTGTGTCCACTGCGATTGTAAATATGCTTTTGTTTCGTCGTATGGAAGACAAGCATTCTTCATCCCATGACACTCCAAGAAATGTCAAACAGCTTAAACAGTCCAAGTTACTTGCTTGTGTTTTTACGATAAAGTTAATGAGCATGTGTCCATTCGTGTATTTTGCTTTGTTGAACACCTATGGCGTACGCTATAACTTTAACACGGCCACCAGTTATATGTGGGTTTGTATAAATCAAGTTTTGGGGAAAAGCTTCTACTCATTCAATGCCATCATTTTTGTGGCAATGAGTTCAAGAGTGATAAACTTTAAAACGAGTTCACCGCCGGTTAAGGATGGGTAATCGCGTGATACGGCGATATTCACATCGATGAGCTGATCGGTTTGTGCCTAAGCTAACGAACCCGATCGTACATACATTTTTACAAACATACATCTACGCAGAAATCTACCTCCACCCAAACATGGATCTGCCCAAACACACGCACCCAAACATACATTCATCCAAAGTTACATCGCTCCAAAAATACATCTACAGAAATATACATCTAGTCAAACATACATTTAACCAAACACGCATCTACACAAAGGACCTGTACACAACATATATCAACTAAAAAAAACACATCTATCATCCTTCTCTGTAAATTTGCGAATAAATGATATAATAACGTTTTTTCAGTGCCAGTTTATTCTTACCCAACTGTTTAGAATGAGTCATGATTGTATGTAACCTATAATGAACCTGTTCCACAAGAATAGTTCTTCTTCTATATCTTAAGGGCTCACAATCAATTTATTGATCATTTTGGCTCCTATGCATGTAGATGGGATTTGCAATGTTCCTGTTCCTTGTTTTACACGAAAAAAAAAAAGCTAAGGAAAAGTCAGCATCAGGGCTCGAAGTTTATATCGATAACATAGACCAAGCAAAAATAGTTGATGAAACAGTCATGAAATTATTAATTCTTTCGAACTTAACATTGAGGGAAATCATTTAATTCGATCGATCCCTTCTTATGGAGATTTAATGAAGCCTCAAGATCCCTGTAGTTTTTACTTTCGATCGGTGTGATATCCTTACTATTTAATGATTCATATGTCGAGATGAGGGCATTCGTAGCTGACCGCTGCTCCTGGTGCTCTTATGTGAAATTAAAGTGCACTCCGCTCCCATGCATTTCACGTCACAGATGACTTAAAATTCACCCACCTATGTGACGTTACCCCATCTTGCACCGGACACCATGATGAAGCTTATAAGAATGCTTATTTCTGCCAACGTACTACATTAAAAGACGGAAAACTCTTCAGGTGTCTGCGATTAGTTCACAATGCATACCCCATAATTGTTATTTGACCTGTGTTCTCTCTTGAAATCGAATGTGATGCACACTGTGGAAGAGTTAAATTTAGAGATAGTCAATTTAGTAATCCTACTGAGGCACTGCTCAATCTAATTTATTTATCATTTAATATATCCGGTGTCCTTCGACGCTGATAAGCGAAACATATCTTGCTACTCTGTAATTTCCTGTAATCATTCACATATAAGTCTGGATTACTTCCAGCGTGACGGCTCCTAGCTTAATCCAGGAATCAAAATGGGTCGCTATAATATACTACATATCAGGTAGTTAGAGCTATGGAGCTCTCAACATGGAAATGCGTGGTTATATTATTTTTTTACTTTTTTTTTGGGGGGGGGGGGGATTTCTGTTTTCTAAACTACTCAGGGTGACCTAGAAACTACTTAAAAGGGGGCACTGATTTTGGTATTCTTATCAAGTAAGTTAATTCTATGCTTGTTTGGGGGGGGGGGGATTTCTGTTTTCTAAACTACTCAGGGTGACCTAGAAACTACTTAAAAGTAGTACAACCAGCTTGTTCTCGCTGGATTAGCTAGGTTTTTCTGTCGTAAAAACTTAAATTCATGCATGTTCAACGAAGTGTACTGTTGTATTTGAAAGTACAGCTTTGACTGGAGTTTTCTTTAAAACTATGGAAGGCCCCAAGTCTCTCTTGGCCTGCTTAACAGATACAGTGGTGAAACAGATACATTGTTTTAACGTGTATATTTTTTGATAGATTCATTGTTGTAACATATATACTGTCGTAATATATAAATTGTTGAGACAGGTACATTGTTGTGACATACATGGTTGTGACATGTACATTGTTGTGACATATACACTGTTGTGACATATACATTGTTGTAACAGGTACATCGTTGTGAAAAATACGTTATTGTTACATGTACATCAATGTTACAGACACATTGTTGAAATAGATAAATTGTTGTGACAGATTCATTGTTGTGACAGGTACACTGTTGGGAAAGGTACATTGTTGAAAGAGATACATTATTGTAACATCTACATTGTTGCAAGAGATAAATTACTGGGACAGATACATTGTTGTAAAAGAGACATTGTTGAGACATATACATTGTTGTTACAAGACCAATGTTGTAACACATACATTGCGATGACCGTACATTGTTGTTACTGGTACATTATTGTAAAAGGTACATTGTTGTGAAAGATATATTGTTGTGCAAGAAACATTATTGTTACAGGTACATTTATGTTACAGATACATTGTTGTGACATATACATTGTTGTGACAGGTACATTGTTGTGACAGATGAAATTGTTGTGACAGGTACATTCTTGTGACAGATACATTGTTGTAACAGATAAAATTGTTGTGAAAGGTACATTGTTGTGACGGATAATTATTATGACAGATACATTGTTGTGACAGGTACATTGCTGTTACAGTTACATTGTTGTGAAAATTACATTGTTGTACCGGATACATAACGGTGATAAGTCCATTGTTGTGACAGGTACATTGTTTTTAGTTACATTGTTTTACATGTACATTGTTGTGACATATATAGTGTTGTAACATATATATTGTTGTGACCTATACATTGTTGAGACAAGTACATTTTTTTGACAGGTAAATTGTTGTGAAATGTACAATTTTGTGACAGTTACATTGTTGTGACATATATATTGCTGCAAGAGAATATTTATTTATTTATATACATTGCTGTGATAAGTCCATTACTATATCAGGTACATTGTTGTGACAGGTACATTTTTGTGCGGAAGAAACACTACTTGGTCAACGGACAAAAGGCGGAGACAGCACAGTGGTGTGAATCGCTGAGAACGCCATGGTCATTCACTGCATGGGTGACTGGGTGGCCGAATGGTCTAAACTGAGCAAACCTCAATTCCAGCCAAAGGTCGGTCAAGCAAAAACATCACCACTGGTGGATGAGACTCGTTCACGTTGGTCGGCAACACATCTAAGAGAAGGAAACTCTTGACTTCAAACCCGGAGTTGGAGTCCCGTAAGGCGCATAAAATGACAATTCCTGCAACCGAAACCATCCCTGGTGGTCTTGACGTAGAGTCTTGTCACTGGAGATGGTGGGCCCCAACGAGAGAGTGAGGTTGAAGCGCGCCACTCTTCCTCAATTTAAACAAAAGTCACTAGCGCAAGTCATCAGTCACCGGATTACTCGATGGTCATCGTCGATCCTCGACAGACGAACAACGAAACATTGTTGTGAGAGGTCCATTATTATGATAGGTACATTGTTGTGACAGGAACATTTGTTGAGACAGTGACATTATTGTGACAGGTACATTGTTGTGACAGATACATCGTAATAACAGATTTTTTGTAACAGATCAATCGCTGTAACATAAGGTGATAATAGTAGGTTACACTGTCGTTATATGGTAGCAGTGATGCTGCCTGTGGCTTTGGCATTCGATTGAATAAAGAATAAATTGAATTAATAAATTAACAGTTTTTTTGTGGTCTCAAATATTTGAACAATTATACTGTCGCTAAACTAAAGATTGAAACGTTTTGAGCAAACTGTTGTTGAAAAAAGGGAACGGCCTCCAAAGACCAAGCTCCTTTGCTTTACCTAACAGTACATTGTATCTAAAAGTCATATGAATTACTATCACAAAGAAAATAGATGATTAAAATTGATTAGACCTCTGATAAAAGTAATTTGAACAATTAATGTTAGAACCAAAGCATTTTTTACGGTTGACAAATTTATGTATCTGATCTTTATATTTATAAATATATATATATATATATATATATAGATAGATAGATAGATAGATAGATCGATAGATAGATAGAGAGAGAGAGAGAGAGAGAGAGAGAGAGAGATCCGTTTTTTGTAAAAATAATATGATCTTTTTGTTGACAGAATCCGGTACAGCATTTACGTCGTTCGTGTAAAAGTCTAGATATTTAAAATGGAGGTAGGCTCTTAAGTGTCTCAATATTTGGTTATGTTAATCAATGAAGTTATCTATAGAGTTTATTACTTTAACATCGTAGTTACCTATAGATTTGGTTACACTTACAATGATGGCATTTATAGAGTTGGCTGCTTTAACAATGAAGTCATTGATCTCAAAAGTTGATTTACCTTCTATGTGAGAACATTGACATTGTTCATTAGCTTAGGTAAAAAACAATATATATATATATATATATATATAAATATATATATATTTATTTATTTATATAATTAGTTAAAATCCATCTAGCTATTTACCCACACCCAGGTATGGCCAGTGCTGAAAGGCTAAACTTAGGGTTATTTACTCATAGCTACAGATGACCCCTGACTTAGTGTACATACAAAGTTATTTACAGATATCTGGCGATGGCACTAGATGGATTGAAGCACATTACCAACAATGCTTTAAAAATGTTTGATATAATTGTTAAGGACAACTGACTGACCCAGTAGTACAATAACACATCCACGGTTAGGGTATATTAATAAACAAAATTCTTGATCAATGTGACATCTGGGTCTTCACTGTAAAACAGCATGTTTGCTATCTACGCTTTCTCTCTGAAACTCCCCTTACTAGAAAAACAAAATATAGCAACAAACTACGTCATCTCCCATATCCAAATTATACGTCACAAATACAAAACATATAGCAAAAACAAAACACTTAATAATCCCATCACCAAAACACACACCCACAACACATGAACTAATAATTA